GAGTCAGGAGGAGCAGCGCTGGAGGAGAAGATGCGCTGGAGGGAGGAAGATGCCTGTACGCTGGAAGTGATGCAGCCATAGCTGCCCAGCGAGTTAGCATTAGTAGTAGAGGGTTAGTATGTAGCTATGAGTAGTATCCAGAGTAGATCCTCATGAGTATTGAAGAGTGTGTATGCATCATAGGAGGAAGGGATTGAGGCTGAGAGTGTTCATTCAAGGTTGGCTATGGAAGATACTTACCTGAGTTGGATGTGACCTGCAGAGTGTGACCTGCAGAGGTGGCGCTGATGAGTGGTGACCACATTGAYGACTTGGAGACTATCTGCAGGGGTAGCACTGATTCACTGGAAGGCATATTGATGAGTTGGCAAGATATTGGTGTTGCGCTGATGAGCGCTGGACTCAGGGGAACTTTGAAACACTTTGTATTCATATTTCTGATAATATAAACTGTGAAACTCGGTCCTCATCTTCTCTATCTTTGTCTATTGTCAGACTACTGTTCATTGTGTGTGGGAGTACGATGCATGGCATGTACACACTTGCGTGAGATGGTCCCCAGGACCCATGCAACTCTGTGTGTGTGAATGAAAATGAAAAGCCTCCTCCTTTTCTTCAAGCACTGGGAGTGTGTGAAAGTGCCCCCCCCCCCCTCTCTCTGAATGAAGCCTCCTTTCTTCAGGCCAGTGAAAGTGGCTGGCAGGTTTGAAGTTGAACCTGACATAGAGCAGTGGACACCGCCCTCGACAATCCAGATGGAATCAGATGAAATTTCGTTCATCCGACTCCACCTGGATTCGAACTCAGGTCTGCATTTCAATATAATTTTTTTGTGGGTGTACCAACTGAGGTACGCCAGTTGGTCCCATCCTGATTGTCAGACCCATCCTCCTGAGTTCGAACTCAGGTCTGCATTTCACTGAGATGGTCTCAGTTTATGGGTGTACCAACTGAGCTAAGGGTACTGTTGTACCCGCAGCTAATTTCACTGGCTGGCTTTTCTAACTGTCTAGGTCCGTCTGAGGGGGGCCATCCTTTCTGAATGAAGCCTCCCAGTTCAATGTGGAATGTAGGCCCTCGCTCCACTACCTCACCAGATGCACAAAAGAAAAAAAAGTACGGCGGTCTCCCTGAAAATGTTCTCTAGGAAGGCTCATTCTCATTTTGCACACTTGGTGAGTAGTGGAGCGAGGCACGTAGTTCAAGAGGGGAGGGTAAAGAGACTTCCCAAAACTTTCTTAGGTTTAGCGTTTAGGGCATGCTCACACTAGTATTACTTTTTAGTCAGACTCATCCAGGTCTGGCCGTAATTGCAGTCAGATGCATTTTGGCAAGTGCTAGTGCGAGTATGCCCTCAGGGAATAGACAGGGGTCTGAGGGGTGTGTATCACAAAAAAAAAAAAAAAAAAAACCATGAAATCGCAGGAACATTTGGATTGGATAACCACCACGCATGCATAATGGCTCAGCCCAGGGTAAGCAAAGAAGAGTACAGTTGTAGGACTAACAATTGTGGAAGACACACACACACACACACACACACACACACACACACACACACACACACACACACACACAC